TTTATGAATTAGACCATGCAACACAAATGCAAGTGATCGGGGTTCAATTTCAATCTGTCATAAATAACTTTTTTCTCTTTTTTGAACAAATGTTGACGTTAAATGTCCCGTTATTTGGTATCATATGATACTGCATGAAAACAGTGATGAAATATGAACGAGGGGCTGACACTTTTTTCGCAAAGCCAAGGGTAATAACATGTACGACACTGCCAGTAGTTTGTGGAAGACACTTTTCCTTGTCAGAGTAATATGACGTTATTACGTGGATGCCAAAAAGTATGGATGAAGAGAGTACAGCGGGAGTATCGACCGACGCACAGCGAAAGTCAATGCGACGGCGTACTGTCTGTGTGCATTAACCTGTACACAGTTACAATAAAGGCAATGTGAGGTAGTTTAGCCTGAATAACATCTGTTCTTGGCCAAGTTGTTCACATCGAAATGCACACCTAGAATATTTACCTTAGGCGAGATTTACTATAATGCAACCTAAGTTATAGAGGGCGGCTTCCACTTTACTGCTGTAACGAATAAAGCAACACAACAAGATAAGTGCATCATACTTTCGGCATTCTTTGCATATACACTTCTACACTTTCTCTGATATGATACATCGCTTTATGTAATGTACATCTTTAAGGGATTAGGGAAACGCAAACATGATCATAGTACTTTAGACAGGCATTTTGTGCATTTTTTTATTTTTCACAGAAAAAGAAATTACATTGCTATTTTAATCAAGAAATTCGGTGAAGTAGACGATACTTTTCTTGTACTATTACACAGAAAATACAGAACTTTCATTGATTACAATGTGAGGTTTGAATCATATGCATTAATGAGCATAAGAAATAAACAAACTGAGTCCCCAAAGATTATGGTCCAAGTTATTACAGTGTGGTACCAGAAGGTAATGATTTAAAATATTTTGATCACGAATTCGACATCTTGATTTTAAATTACTATTTATAAACAGTTATAATCCTACTTAATGATAACAAACTTGAATGTCTAATTAGTGACAAAATGTTGAAAGTACATACATAAATAGTTTATTCTTCTCACAAAAAATCTTTTACTCATTGTGTTTTTTGGCTCTCCAGTTACAATCAGTTTCAGGATGCCGCTATTACAAAATCATGGTCGCTGATTGGTCTGTTCCGTTTCAGTATATTAGCACATATTGCTATATATTATATTAACAGCTGTCTGATGTCCAGAATCGATATAGTTCTTGGACTGGTGTTAAAAGGCAACTGAGTGGTTCACACTTTGATATAGTTGGCAAAACGCCCACTAAATGAATTTCTGTACTGATCCGCGCACATATATCTTTGTTATGTACTCGTAATAAGCAAATTATTTCTGTTCATGCCTAGTCAAAATGATTCCACGTCATGCAAGATGAAATGCACAACCATAACATTTCAGTAAGACCTTTTAAATATATGAATTGATTCCTAAAGTTCGGGTTTATTGAATAATTGTAAATGATTGAGGGAAACTTTGTCTATTATGTAAACATCGACGAGCATCGTGGGTTAAACATAATGATTAATCATTGGAGAGAATCTGCAAGAATCTGCAATATACAAAGTGAACTGCATTGGGCAGCATTTTAAATGATTAAAAGAAGATATATATATATATATATATATATATATATATATATATATATATATATATATATATATATATATATATATATATATATATATATATATATATCAATATTTGTTGAAACATGAAAAACTCGGAAACGCTTTCGCAGTCAGATTATATACCAAAGCAATCAATACACTAATGTATTATCAATCTAATTGTTTCGTCATGATTATAATAATCCAAATAAATAAATAAAGTATTAAAAACATATAAATTACATATTCGCTTACTTTTCCTTCACAATACTCCAATTGAGTCAAAACATACAATATTGCATGCTATACGACAAAACAAACGAAAGCTATCCTTTGATTAACAACAACAATTGCGAATAACGATTATTAAGTTATATAAGAAATATAATAATGAAAGATGCTTATTATGTCTAATATATTGTCAATTGTCAAGCAGATCGAAATTGTGTTGATTAACATTTTTGAAATTTTCAGAATGAGTTTCAAGGAAGAACGAAAGAAAATTTTCACCTGTTCATAGCTTATCAATTAATCTTAGACTGCCATACAATTCTGTATACATATCTAAGCGTCGGCTACCATAAATCATACAGACAAAACATGACAGGGAATATTACACCTCTGCCAACATAGAGCATACAAGTGTTGGTACCAAATCAAACATGAACGTTAGAAAACGCTAAAATGCTACTCGAATTTCGTTTTGTACTATTCCATTGATTTGAATAATACAATCTTAAACCTAACCGAAACAAAGTATTAAACTAAATGGTTGTATACATGGCTTTCCAACACAATAATTTATATGTGATACGAATGACTTAATATAGAATAAATACACTAACGTGACAACTTGTATGCCAGTATGGCGACGTGATTGTATTTTGAGTGCATCGTTTAAAGGTGCACAGATTCCGAACCCAATAATCAACGCACATATACGTTGTGTGTCATTTATATTGAACCAAATATTGTACAATAACAGTTATGGTTGCGCGAAACGTATTTTTCGTTATTGGGGATGGCTGGACGGCCAATATTATTTTACATCTAGGAATACTCTCAAAACACCCTTGTCGAGGAAGAAAGGTTACAATATTCAAACTGAATAAAATTACTCCCTCTACAGAACACAAACACTTGGAATTGAGTCCCAATCAAGAATACATTTGATAAAGTATATTATCTACCCCATATTTGTACCCCTCGAATGTATATTAAAAATTGTCTCATTATATGGTATTATGCAAACAACATTTCATACTTTATATATTTTATTCGAAAGCAACACAGTGCTCGAAAATCAGTTCATGTCAATAATGTTTTCACATATAGTTGATATATAATGGAAATTCATAATTGAAGATATAATTAATATAATTAAATATACTATAACAATTTTAGTACAAAGTTCATAATAAACCTAGTTTGTCAATGCAAAACAAAAAACGCGCAAATTTTACTTATTGTTATATTTTTTATATGATATATATTTTGAGGTTATTAGCCTCAAATACCGCGGAGATAACATATGGCATTTCCGGAAGCAGGGATATTATTTCCTGTGTCCAACAGAACAACCTCATTATCATATGTGCAACAGCGCCAGCACGTAAATATAAAACAGACAAAACAGTGGTAGAGAGCGTTGTGCACTCGTTTGTTGTGGAATACACTTATAATTGGTGGGGGGAATAATATCAATCATAGCAATTTGATTGAGTTAATCTAGTAAATGTTCTTATACTATTCAGCAAAGTTCTAACAAAATATTTATGTCAACATGCACCCAAATAAAATATCCGCATTTGAAAATGTAGTCGTCCAAGTGCGTTGACAGAGAACGCTTCATTACAAACAAAGACGCCATCTCGCGGGTCGCAGTTTCAGCAATTATTATAGTTTTTGGCCGAAAAAGACGGATCTGTTGCAAGCATTTGCTAGGTTACGGGAATAGAATGCAATATCGGAATTTCGTTCTGTGTGTCAGTGTTATTGATTATCAGAAAAAAAACAGTCATGTGACTTAGTGTGAATATGACGTCATATAACTCTATGCTCACACATAGTTGCTCGTACGATAAAGTAGTATTGTACATATTGCACATTGTCATGTTTTATATATTTTTTATATTGCGAGTGAAATGCGTCAGTAATTTCCATTTATATAATATTAGACTTACATTAATGTACCTCTCATATTATATAAGTGTTTAGTCATATATATATTTGCCTGACATAATTCAGTATTTTCTACATTACTTAAATCAAACACTAGATAATATCTTCCATTTGTCACACATATCCGGGTTTGGCGGTATTCGTCTCCATCACATACCATGTCTACTTCCTATTGCATTAACATACTGTCAAAGATAAAATCGAAAAAAATCGTTTTCAAAAAATTAAAATAACTAATAACCACACCAGGTGCAATAATGTCATGCTTTTATATATTGAAAAATGTTTTTAAAATTGTATATAAAAAAACTTTGGGAATATTAATCGCCAGAAAGACACTTAAATATTGTATATGCGTTATTCATCTAGAAAAGGGTTGTTTAATTCAGGACGTTAATACACAAATACAATTATGCTGCATTTTGTTATTAGATTCACAGTAAAACCTGTTACTTGTTTGATCTTGTTTGACATACAATTATTGCAAATTGTCATACTAAACCATGACGATTGCTATGTCAGCCTCGCACTATATATTGTTAGTATGTTGTATAAATTGTTATACGTTATTTGCCAGACATTATATTGGCGTGAAAATCAAAACCATGACAATTTAAAGTCAATTACAGGGAGAAATGATAATTTACATATACATTATAAATTGTCCATGTTTCAGAGTTATTGACATTAAATAATATTGTGTTACAGCTTTATAATCTAGTGCATATATTCAGTAATACTTCATTGTAGTGTAATGATTTGCAATGAATGGCATTTACCTTTTTCTTCACAGAGATAATGTGTACTGTACGTCTCACAATTTATTGACATATACGATATGACAAACGTAGATCTAGAATGTAGAAATCAGAAAAATTTTAAAAATATATTAACATGTACGCATATGTATTCAAAAGGGGTGATTGGCGACAACACTGTCGAGTTATGGTAAGTTGTTCCAGCAGCGGATTTGGGGTTATTTCATAATTGTATGTTCAGTTGGTCCGAAGCCATTTGTTAGGATGCCAACAGATAGTCCTCTATTCCGCTCAACTCTTCCAACCTCGCTTTTAGGTGACGCCAATCCATATTTTACGAATAGACATGATGAACATGCGTGGAATGTGATATTATGATAAATATGTATAATAAATTAATTTCCATAAATTGGTTTGCTTACGTTCTGACACATATTTCATCTCCAGTATCGTTGGGATACCAATTTTCGGAAATGCAACTTGTTGTGTTGTCTAGCCACTGATACTGGCCAGACACTTTCTTCATACCTAGCCACAAAGAGCCAGACATAGTGTTGACGTAATGGTTTAATGTAGAGTGTTTTGTTGTAGAGTTAAGAATTGCCAGTGTTCCACCAAATTCAGCACACCTGTCTTTAGCAACGTTCCACTTTGTTATTTCGAACGACCTAAAATAACGCGAACATTCTACAGTAGGTCCCATATCTATAAGGAATAGAAATATTTCAATATTATCAATGCTGGTACACTGTCAAGTATATACACGATTCCCTCCAATTCCGCTTTTTCAGGAAGTAGAAACAAAATCTGACAAAATCAACATGATAACACTGGCTTTGGCATGTCGATTTTGAACGCTACTGTTATTGATGGAACCACAATTCCGATCTTTTTCACACAACTTGGAAATGTAACATGCCTACCACCAAATAAGTGCTGTCAAATAAAAGCTGATTTATTAACTGTTTTCTGTACTTATGAAAAAACATCTACCTGATCTTTGTACTGCCCAAGCGGGGCAGCTGTGTGACCTTGTGATATCCCACCATTTAACATAAAAATTGTTCAGTGATGGCAGAGAATGTATGATTTCGCTACTTACTAAAGCATCCACTAGATCTTTGAACAGCTCCAGCAGGACAGCTACATGTGAAATTCCCAATGCCATTGGTGCACACATGAATACAACCACCATTATCAATCTGACACTCGTCAATGTCTGAAAATATATAATACATGTTGACACGTGTGACAAACACTCAGACATCAATTTCATTTGTTACACACGTATGATATATAACTGAATACACAACTAAATATTTAAAAATGTATTCTATGTGCTATTTCTTTCATTGCATACATAGAAGAGTATGTAGTTGATGTCCTACCATTTTGTAAATTCAACACAATCCCAAACAACACCCTACGCATTCTGGCTGACTCGGTATGATGCTAAAGTGGCAGTGGAACAAATTGTTAAACTAGCTTAGCCCTAAATAAGCCATATATAACAATAAGTGATTGTACCAATAAAATACATGAACGATGGTAATTGGTTCAAGTTTAAATTCGAAATTAAATTGTGAATTGTGTGAATTTATTAAAATTGGGGTTTAAGATGCCATGAAGCGTTTGATGGAATGTAATCTTTATTAAATTAGTCTGGTGCTACAATAGACATTCGAAATAACATCGACAAAATCTATAAATTCACACACTAAGCAACATGCTGCGAATTCTAGTTTCACTCACACCAGTTTTGCCGTGAATATAATTGTTCTAACATGATCGTGTATAAATCTTTTACTTCACGAAAGTCATTGTACTAATAAAATAATTTACTGGCGGTAAATTCCACCAATCCAAATTATAAACAATTTAATTTAACTGGCAGCACCCGCTGGCCAACCCCTGTGATTGGCCATTACGATTAAATACATGACTGGGACCAGCAATAGACCTGTCTGGGATACTCTAAGTGTTTATCACGCTCTCACCTTGACATGTCGGTAATGAAGTCCATTTACCATTGATACATCTGATCACATTATTTCCAACTAAGGAAAATCCGGTGTTGCACTTTACCTGCTTCTCCCAGTAATGATCAGCTGAGTTAATATTCTCAAAAAAATAATTGTCAATGATTGCTGCACATCCTGAAAATTAAAGGAATTGAGAGTGGCATTATTATGTGAATTTACTAAATGTATTAACGTTTTCTATCACATATCTAACTTGGCAAAGTCTTACACTTTTAGCCCAAGCATATTAATCGTATCACGTTTCACATTGAGGTGAAGACAAGGTAACTATTCATAAAGTGCTTACCGCATGCCTTGATGCGCACACAACTTCTTTGTTCGTGTAAGTTTTCTGGAGCGCAGACATTTGATTCCATATTTGTTGGGTTCGAGGAAATAATACACGATCGTGTTCTCGTTTGTAATCCCCATCCACACGTCACAGAACAAGAACTCCAACCGCTCCATTGCCCCAAACTATCATCTACAAAATTAAACAAATTATCATACTATGAATTTGGAATAAGAAAATTTGACGTTTTTGGATCAAAAGCTAAGAGTAATATGATATTTTGCATTTTTGATTCACATTTATGACTTAATTTAATAAAGTTAAAAGTACAGAAAATCAAGCAGGACAGAAATCGGCACTCAAAGTTTCGCGAATAGTAAACTACAATAACCAGTGGCTGATTACTTTGTCTATTTTGGTGATTATTAAAATTAATTAATATTATTAATTATTATTCTTGTGTTCAATTCTTGATTTTTGGTCATACAACGCAAAGCTGTATGTTTCATATCCAATTGTCATGCTATGAATGTGGAAAACAAAAAAATTATATTTTTGGATCAAAAAGCTAGAGGTAATATAACATATTGCATTTTTTATTCAAATATATGATTTAACTTAGTGAAAAATACAGAAAATCGTCACTCAAAGTGGCTGATTTTTTTATGATGATTATTGAAATTAATTAAAATTATTAATTATTATTATTGTGTCCAATTCTTTATATTTGGTCTTACAATGCAAAGCTGTATGTTCTATAACCGGATACTGATTCAGTCGTTCGATAATCTAAATGTATACACCGCTCTTTTGCGTTGTCAGTACCAGTTCAGTTTACACGCTTTCATGTCAAAACCTTGTCTATTATGATGTACCAAAACTATTCACTTTTTGGCATCGAAGCAAACATACATACTTCTTTATACATGGTCGTCGACTGCATTCTTCGACATTCAGTTTTTTGCAAAAAAACTGGAGAAATTGTCGCATAATTAGCATGCACTCGCACTCCATCCTCGAAGTCTCGGAGAATTGGATTCAAATAGAATTCAACTAGCTGTCCCAACTGGGATTTATTTATTTGGTAAATAACTTGCTTTTGACTCAGCTTATACTTATTTGTGTTTAGTGAGAACCGAGCTTGGAACATTTGAACCACAGGGAATTTCAAAACTGTTTACATCATTTATTCTTCATTTTTAGTTTGGAAATTCGCTATGCATCAATGTGCGCTCTCTAACATTTATTTGTTTTGGACGTTTATACAAGCCAGTAAAATAAATCATTGATCGAATAATCCAGCTGTTTTGAATAGTTATTCAGGAGAACAATTAACAAATATTACCTACTATATACAACAATATACTATATTTCCTTTAAGAGAGAGGGGAACAATGAGTCTCACCTTCTTCACAAGTCACACTTGTATCATCATGTTGAGAGCCGAATTCAAATCTCAGTTCTTGCCGTGGACACTGGAATATAGACCCTTCATTCCCGACACAACTTAGACCACTTATTACAGCTCGCATCATTGGAAGTTGGCTTGACGTGTTCACATCTGCATCACATGAAGTCAGTATAAGAAGTGTGTAAACTCCAACCAAAAACTATGTCTATATTCACTCGTATCTGCTGACGTATATTGGGCGGGGGTTATTGGTGAGATATCGCATGAATACCGAGGCAATATTATGGATACCATCGAGGTAGGAATGCGATATCGAACATACACAGCGAGAGGATTCCCTCTATTATAGAGAAAAACCCTTACACCATAATAGAACCTTCGAAAACCTTTTTTTTTATGAAGCAAGTGGGCGATATCAGCACTGAGTATTCCGCAAGTAATTATTTTCTCGCTTCCATGACTACAATTTACTGGTTTATCATATTCTTGTATTAAAAAAAGCAAACTTGACTTTACATGCAACTTGTTTTATCATATTGCAGGAAATCCAGAGTAGACGGTTTTGCGACCCAGTGTCGGATTCTGCTGTATGGGCCATCCCTAAGGATTCAATACCAAAAAACACAAGGAGACGTAACATGTGGGCAACGAATTAAACCCCGACTAGAATTAACGACTGATGAAAAGGTGAAAATTTATGACTGTATTGAAGTAATGCACGTCATGGACTTGGCTTATTGGTTAAGTATATTCGTTTTAGAGGTGCCCAAAGTGGATGGAAATTGTTATACTCAAAAACATTATCTTTGATCATGGGTTTGCAAAGCTACCGTTGTTATGAGCTGCAAACGCCTCTAAATGTTCTAGTGGTATTCAAGTGCTCGATTCAGAAATAAAAAAATTGTCCAGTTTGAGGTTGAGATCAAAAATAAATCAAGCTGAGGTAATTACCAAAGACCAAATGAAAATTAAGCTGCCATAAGACTTTTCTCCCCGGGTTCTTCTTCGCACTATGGTATTTCTAAATGGCAAACACTTTGCCCTCAGAAGCAGAATGGAACATCGAGCTCTACGTTTTGACCCACCCCAAATCACTTTACACGAGTCACCAGGTAAAACGCTTTATTTGAAGTATGTGGAAGACGTGTCAAAAAGCAACCAAGGTGGTCTAAAGCATCGCAGAGTAAGACGAAAAGGGTTATGCATTATGCAAATGCTGAAAAACCCCAATAATTCCATATTAGAATGTACAAGAATTACACATCACTCTGCCCACACGAGTGAAAACAAAAATCATTCTACCTGCAACCCTGGCGTAAATACGAAGAATCCGACAAGATATGATTCACTAAGCAGCCTATGGGTCACAACTTAACTTTGAAAACTTTACAAACCATAGCCTACGTGCTACAGCTGTGACCAGTCTTTATGAGCAACGTGTTGATGAGCAAATCATAATGAAGCGAACATGACACCATTCAAATAATTTTAAATGAATGCATGATCACATGAAAAACTTAATTAAATTTAAATTATCTTGACAATGTTGTTTTTTTAATCTTTTAATCTATAAACACACAACACAGAACCAGAAGGAGACAGTAAGCGATATTTTGAATGGTGTCGCAGCTGCTACAACCTCCAAGCAAGTAAACGTCGATCTTGATGAATAAATGTGCAACAAACGTTTAACCTGTTTGTGTAATTTAATGGGAGGTACGTCGTGATATCATCCCTCGGCTTCGCCACTGGGTGATATCACGACAGTTCCAACGAAGTGTCATTTCGAGGCATGATATCGGAAATGAGTCGAAGTCGAGTGTTATTTCCGCTATCATGCCGAGAGTATGGCAGGTCTATAAAATCGCCCATTCCCTTCAAATATCGCCTGAGTTGGAAGTTTTTATTAAAAAAAAACAACCTTAAAGTCGATTGTTATTTTGCGTATGAGGTGTGTATACATTACTATTGCATGAAACTCACAACAGTTACCTATAGTACCAGGAAATCCAATTTGTCTGCATGACACGTTGGCGCTATCCATGTCCCATCTATTACTCTGTAACGTTGCCCACTGGCCAAGTTGGGGAATAAATACTTCGACATTGCTCTTACTGTCATCTCCAGAAGCAGTTATTCTGCTTGGGACAGAATCTAGTGTGTACAAACATATAATGAGATACCATAGAGTTGGTCTAACATTTTGGATGTCAGCGCAAATACGTGTTTCAGAATTCCGAAGCAGCCAGCTAGCCATTTTACACATTTACATTCAAATCATTGGATTACGCTCATGTCGTTGTTCACATACATTTTAAATGCCATAAACGGAAACTAACCAAAGCTTTTCGGTTGTGCCCGCTCTCTCTACGCTACCTTCAGAAAGTACTATATGGAGTTAAAAATCTGCCCTCTCTTTCACCTTTTCCCGATGCATATAGTGTGTGCACCCCTCCCACTATCGAACAGATTCGTGTGCTCATAGTGAAAGTGACACAAAATTGGTCGTTACGATGGTTAACATTTGTGGCTTAATGTAAACTACCGACTACATCAACACAAATACAAAATCCCCCTCCCGAACCATAATTTATTCATTATGTTTATTATTATATTGTATTATAATATGTTTCGGTACTTACTTTCATGTCGGACTGTTTAAGTATTAAGCAATAATTAGTAAAATAATTGTCTTAATATGTATAGTATGATTGAAATAGGGTACACCTTTTTTACTTACATGAGTTGATGACAACATTCCTTGATTCCATTGTCTCACCCATACAACCCTTGTCAACATTCACTGTACCTCCATTCAAGCACACTCTACTCCGGGCAACAGTGCCCTCAGATGACTGAGGCCATGAAAATTCACTCCACATCGACCAAACTACAAAATCAATAATACAATAATAAGTATTATAACGACACAAAATAAATTATCTAAAAATATTTATTTTACTATTTTTGCGCATGAATAAAATAACAGATGTATTCAAAATATCTGCATAAAGCAGTAATAGAATAAAGACTTTCCGTTTTTACGTTGGGCAGGAAAACCTGAATACAATTCATTTAGAAATATATCAAAACAAAATATACTCTTTTTTTACGGCTTTAGGATAAAAATAATATTGGTAAAAATATTATAAAAAATGTCATTGTCAAGAAGACAATGACTTTATCGTACTGCTTTTTTTGAAAATTGGGTTTCAGAAAGTCGATGTGTATTATTATAAGCATTTATTATATCCAACAGTTTACAATCCTTTGAACATTTGTGAAAATGCAGTATCTGCGTCATTCGAATAATTTTCGTAGTTGACATCAACCTCAATGTCATAGAGTCAATACAGTGGAATATTTCAGTATCTTCACTTAACAGTAAATTTGTGTTGTCGGTCTTAAACACTATGTCATATATATCGTATATATGTATTTAAATAACAATACCTGGACACGCCATCTGATTACAACGTCGGTAATCAACACTATAGCCTTCACAAACCATATTATCAGGAACAGCAGTTGATTTACCACATGATCGTGTTCGATATTGATATCCAGTTCCACATGAGACTGTACAGACAGACCACGAGTCCCATGCACCCCAATGTGGCAGTGCCACTTTAACACAAAACAAACAAGGTGAAATTGACTCGATTTTGGGATGATGAACAAAGAACTCGTTAGTGTGTCCTCTTCGAAAGATGTAAAATGGCGATAATACAATATTCTGAGAAATAACACACGTTTACGTGTCTGGGAATATTCCCTATAACAACCGGATTACACTGTCTCTGGAGGGTCGCGATATGATACTAGCTCGTCTGAAACTCTCTCATTCTGAACTAAGATGGAGCATGAATATACATGAATGCATGAATATACAGTTTTGAAGTAACTGATGTACCCCGTGTCTATGACTGTGGGTGTCAGTCGCATACAAGTTTAAATATCAATAATATAAAGTAAATAGTGATAACTGAGAATATCAATTATAACTGAACACAGAATATTCAATATCGACTAGGTTAGCGTAGGGGCGGTCTCATGTCCACCCACAGTTCAAAAGCCGACAACTCAGCATGATCACTACTTCTAGTAGTAGTAGCACTACTTCTATGTGCTCTATGCATATGGGCCCAGCCAACAATAACAAGTACTGTTCAGAAACAGGTACTTCAGGTAATAGAAATGAAAGTGGGTGACTTCAAATACCTGGGTGAGAAAACGTGATCATTTTGCACTTATTATGAAAGATAGTGAGCTACTGAGAGATCGTTGGTCATGCATCTCTGCGAGTGGGGTCTCTATAGTTACACCCAGTTACGCATAAGTGGTCGCCCTCTATTATGGAAAATGTTATTGAGGTGATGAAAACAGCACAAAAAGCCAGAATAAAAGCAATGCGCATGTGCAGGGCATAGAAGCGCATTCCTCTTGGGGTCCCAGGAAGTAGAATGAGAAGCAAGCTAATCTGGCGTCCGGTTCTAGCGCTACATAAAGTAATTGATCCTCAAAGTGATTACTGTTAAATCTTGAACAAGTGAGAGTCGGCACCTCCTACTTGAAATCAAGGGTTACTTGCACAGTGTTTCGCATTTTTATATCCGTGGGGTTGCAAGTAATACAACTCGTGGGAAGAACAACAAGGAAACTCCAGCAAAATGAAAACAAGACCATGATGGTGTGTCTCGAACCATTTGGGATCTACATCATATTCGAAAAAAAACAAATTCATAATTAAGCTTCTGCAATCAAACGGTGCTAATATTGGTATTGAGACCCCCCCCCATAGAAGCCATTAGCCTTGTTGACCAAGTGTTGGAAAAATCTATTCATTAGAAAATGGAGGGCTAAAATTATCTGCTGGGTGTTTCAGAGAAAGTCGGAAAATGTAACTTATTGACTCAGCTATACAATATTTCTGGATAGTCGCGCCATCCTTCTGAAAACGGAGACAGAGAACACCCTGTATGGGTGAACATGATACTGTTCTGTAATTGTAATTTGAAAATATTTAGCGTACCCCCGTGCCAGGGGCGATGGGTCACGTTATACCCCGATGAGATGTAATGAGTAGTGAATTGTCTGATTCAAATTGCTAAATATTTGCATCTACAATTATTTATTTCACGAATAAATTTGACTGATCTATCCCTATTTATTCATGCGAATATTATTATTGATTTGGCGTTATTGTTTCAATACTGGCTGAATCGGCACTTAAGAATTTTATAGGGATGCACCCTTGAATTGCCCAGAACGGTTCTATTAACACCATTGCTGTTCTGCTCAATGGAGGCAACGTTTTGAGCACTGACAATACCATCGATATGGTGAAGGATTTACAACATATGGACATCACATTCCCCACCCAAGCTAGACTATTTGTGAATGGTGTTGTATACAGATATACTGTTCGTTTTTCCAGAGGTCGAAAGGCATTGTGGAAAAATATTATATCCAAGTGGAAATGTGACCTTTTGTCACAATGCATACACCCATTTTATTGAGCAGATACAAAGTACTGCAACATGCAACACGTGATTGAAAGGTCCTAGGGTAGAAACAAAATTGCAGCCTTGGAACTGCCATAGTCGCTCTGCAGGTAAAAGCTTCGACATAGAATAGAAAACACAAACAATGTAGCCAAGGTCACAGGGTCTTCCGAAAGTACAGAAAAAGCAGCTGATTTTTTGTAAAAAGTTCAATAAAAATATAAACACAGGAACACTGCAACTATGGGTGATGATTAAAACTTTTAATGCACGATATAAATCGACAATGATATATGTCAAAGAATCCTGACTACAAAGCAGTCATTAGAACATGATAGACTCATTCGCTGCAATATTTTCTCTGCGTCATTTCAATGCTCGTAGAAATGAGAAAAAAATTGTTACTGCTCGCTGCTCCTTTTAATGCTCCTCACAGAAGTGAATGAACGGAATAAATGCTGCGTTTGCACTGGTGTTGCGTGCCACCCACCCCACTAGAGTAAGACTAAGCCCAATATCACATTGCCAAGGGTTGCAGCATGACGATACGAGTAATTCCTCCTGAGCCTTCAAAGTCTACTGCCACAACTTCAACACTCTATGTAAATTTGCTACGGAAAGGTGGAAAAAAGTCGCACACATGATTTTAGTACGGGAAAACTCCCAGAACAAATTACAGGAACACGAATATTTACATAGCAAAACACAATCTGGGATATAACAGAGGTAAATGCACAAACCACTCAACTATACAGGTTGGCCCAAAAAAGTCAGCTCAAAATAGCCTGTTGTGAAAGCGACCAGATGGAAAGACACAAGCAGCGTATAGCATTATAACTATACCCATAGAAAGGCTGGTATTCATGATTCAATACGAACAATTTGGCTGATGATGTGTTTATTTTTTTCCGATTCATAAATAAATCTTCAAAAAACATTTAACAGTACGTGAACAAAACCCCGAAAGGGTTATTTCACTTCCACGGCATGTAAATAAGCAACTTTATTTGTATTAATATTTGTAATATTTTTAGACCTATGATTGTAAATGGTAAATTTGAAAACAGTAAACTATTAAATGTCATCGCGAGATTACATGCGACAGGGTTAAATATTATAAAAGAAATCATTCACGACAAACATCAAATAGCGATTTAAAGTGAAAATGTCAAAAATGCCACCCGATATATAGAATGACGTAAGCACAATTCATCTACGCTATTCATTTTCAGAAAGCAGAAATTTAAAATATACAGCAACAACATAAGACAACTTATATTGGAATGGAAATATTAGATACACCTGTTTACAAAAACATTCTTGTTGCAAGAAGTTCAATAAATTCACAATAACCCTCAATAATATGCACTTAGGCACACAACGTATACAACATATTAAACACAGTGAGTACGATGTACGCAAGAATACAACCAACAAAGTGTATTATTATTTGGTTCACTCGAAGACGCCGAACTGAAACCGAACGCCAACAAACGCTGAGTGTACACATTCAGTAATGAAGTAAATATACGTGACTAACACGCGTTCCTATCCACATGGCCACTGAGAAATTGAACACTTGTATTCCCTACGTCTATAAACGATAAATTTAGGCCACATGAAATCATGATTGCGTCTGTCACAAGGTTCCAAAATACATATGTAATTTCAGATCATAGTAATGTAATTATTGTAAAATTAATTCCATGAAGCATGCAAATTTGCAATGATAAATATAACCTGGGCAGAATAATCCCAGCAACGAATTGTGTTGAGTATGTGGGACGTCGATTCCCCACTCAAAGTGAAATGCACGTACGTCTGCTAATGTTAAGTGGAGTAATAAGGACGCCACCAATGTTAACGAACCAACTAATTGCTTACTGAA